AGGGCCCTCCTGGCATAGTGTGTGTGTGTGTGTGTGTGTGTATGCATGTGTGTATTGGGGGGTGTTCAGCTTTCATACCCTCAGGGCTGGCTCATCTGCACACCTAGATAGTCAAGGAGTTTTAAGAGCTGCCATTCTTATTAATCTGTCTGAATACCAATATTCTGTCTTTCTCAAGTAAAGCAAGGGCCTACCTAGCCTGGCATATCTTTTGAACCTTGAAAGCTACATTGTAGACTCTGGTATTACAGGCCTCAACATAAAGGAACTGGCTTGCTTCCTAAGATAATATAGGTAGCACCTCATCCATATCATTCCATCTTCTCCAACCCTTTCTCAGTCCCTTGCCAACACTGTAGCAGCCTTCCCATTACTCCTAATTAGGGTTATCATTTAGGGTAGCAAAAGGTAGGAGAGAATGGCAGGTGAAATTTTATCTTTCTACCTTGTATTCTTAATGTTTTTGGAACAGCTTTTGTATTTTAAAACTGTTAGCAGAAAGAGGCAGCAGGCTATGACACAAGCAAAGGAAGAGTTGGTTTGAACATAGCCATTGCAGTTGGATTGCATACCCAGGGCAGACCTGCAGTGTGTTCTGGCAGAGGACTGTGGGAAGAAACTTGCAAGGAACCTAGAGAAGTAATCTGACCTTGTGTCACTTGTTTTGAAACTTTTTGGATCAGTTGATGAGCTGTGGATAAATAATCATAGGGTAGGACTGTGTCGTGGCCTCCTGACTCAGAATCATTAGTTTGCTTAGTCACACACACTCAGCCAATTTACCTACCCTTCAAAACGACAGGGCCAGGCATGCTGATACTCTCAACATTTGCACGGCTGACGTAGGAAAGGCTTAGCTGAAGAGCAGCTGCCTGGTGTGTGTGAAGCTCTGGGTTTGGTCCCAGAAGACACAGATTTTAAAAGGAGGTGGGGAGGTTGCAGGATCAAAGGGGGCTTTATCTTCAGCTCACCCATATAACTGTTCCACATTCCAGCTCCACAGCCACGCAGCCTGTTGCTTTGAACTTTCCACCTCTCGGGTCATACTTTCTGTTTTATGGCCTTAAAGGGCAAAAAAGTATTTGTTTTCACTTGGGGTTCTACTTCTTTGTTTGCTTGTTTGTTTTAAGGCAGGGTCTCACCATATTGCCCAGTTGGGTTCAGATTCCTGGCCGCCAAGCAACCTTCTTGCCTTCTCTTCCCTTCTGAAGTTGGAATTACAGGCAAACACAGTATTTTAAAAAATTGTTAGTGAGGTCGTATCTACTGTCCATGTATTGGCCATTCATATACCTACTTTCTTTTAATTTTTTAGGATTATTTTAATTTTATTGTATGGGTGTTTTGCTTGTGTGTATATCTGTACTCCACTTCAATGACTGGCACCCATATCGGCCAGGAAGCAGGTGTCAGATCCACTGGTACTGGGATAACAGATGGTTGTGAGCCACCATATGGGTGCTGGAAATTGAACCCAGGTCCTCTAGAAGAGCAGCCAGTGCCTTTTAACTATGAGCCATCTCTCTAGTCCTAAAATTTTTAAATTTTCATTTAAAATTATGTGTCTGTATCTGTATTTGTACCTGTGAGTGTGGTGCCTTCATAGTTCAGAAGAGGAGCTGGAGTTACAGGTAATTGTGATCCACCTGACAAGGGTGCTAAGAACTGAACTCAGGTCCTCTGCAAGAGCAGTACATTCTCAGCCACTGAGCTACCTCTCCAGCCCTGTGTTCCTACTTCCATGATGTTTCCATTGGTATTTATTTTGACTTGAAAGAGGGTGCTCTCTGCAGAGGCAGGCTTAGAATAGTAGGCCTATCTCTCACTCATTTTGTTTTTCTCAATACAGATCCTAAATTTGACCCAGGCCCTAAAAGACAATAAGAGTCCCCTTCACCTCGTCCAGATGCCACCTGTGATTGTTGAGACAGCCCGTTCCCATCAGCGGTCTGCAAGCGAATCCTACACACAGAGCTTTCAGAGTCGGAAGCCTTTCTTTTCATGGTGGTAGCCCTAGAGGCAGGCAGAAGATTATTCCTGCCGGTGACAGGCTGCGAGCAAGCCTGGAGAGAAGCTGGTGCACGGCAGAGCCTTTGAGGGCCCTTCCTCTTTGCTTGACGCCTCCCTCAGGGCTTTCCCACCCACAGGGAGCAGCACAGTCAGGGACAAGAGTACTCCTGCACCCTTCAGAGTGTTGGGGAGGCTGGCGTCCAGGCAAGGCGGCAGGTGGCTGAGGAGGAGCAACTCTCTCCCAGTATCTGGTGGCAGGCTGGGAAAGCCCATCTCCCCGACAGCCTCCCCATCCCAGTTCCCTGTTACATTCTGCATCAGAAAGAAACAAACTTAAATGCTTGTAGGAAACCACATTAGATACTCGAGTCAGAAGCCCTTAATCTAGACCTAAGTTTGCTTAGACACGCTCTGATGCCTAGCTGTTGTTTACCCCCATGAACTGAGCTGTGTCAGAGGCCCATCGAGGCCCTCAGATAGAAGCCTCACCTTTCCTTTCTGTTTTTGCCAAATTGATCCTCCCCTTGCCACACTGGTACTGGCTTCTTGTGGCAGTGAGCAGGCTGTTGCTCTGTATCTGCCAGAGGCTCTGCACACAATCTTTCTGTTCTCTGCCCTGCTGCTGCTTGCCTAGCACTCAGCTGAAGTGAGAGAGGGCTAGCCTTGGCAGTTCTGTTCTGCCAAGCGGATGTGTAGCAAGCATGTAGAGGTGATCGACTTAGCCTAAGTGCATGCTGGGTGCTAGGAGTGTTCCATGGGGAGCCTGGCGCAGCCTCACTCCGGGGTCCGTCCTTAGTCTCCGTCCTTTTCTACCTGGTTTCTGTTGTTTTCACTATTTTCCCAACTTTTAACTGAGGAGTTCAGTTTGTGTTCTGGAGCGGCTCTTGGTAGGGGCTGTGGGTCAGTCAGATCATGAGTGGCAGGACATTGTCCCTGTTCTTCCTGTTATCACTGCTGCACGGAAAGCAACAGGACCTGTGTTCTGTCTCCTAACCAGCAGTGCCCAGGGCTCCTTGCCTTCTTGTCCTGGGCTGCTTTCTCCTCAGCTTCCCGAAGAGAGGCCTTCAAACAGTTCCCCAGTGCCTGCCCAGCTCACCATGCATCTTCCTGCTTCCATGTGTCTTCTCCCTTGCCAGGTGTTTGAACCCTTTCTACACCAAAGCAAAGAATTGGCTTCAGGAGGGAGTAAAAAGGGGCCACCTGTGGCTGAGAGGCAGCAGTGTTCATACCCTGTGATGTGGACCCCTGAGGGTTCTCACATTCTACAATTGGTCAGTCAGCCTTGGAAAGAAATTGTCTTGAAGGCTTGAAAAAAACCAAAGAAAGGGAATGAGGACCACAGCTGTGTGTCTTGTCTGCCTGCCTGGCTCCCACCATCCAGGAGCAGAGCAGAGGCACTCGGCTCTCCCATCAGCTGGAGCAGGCTGCTCCCCATCCAGTCCAATCTAGGAGCCAGCTTGCTATCGGCTTCCACTTCAGCCAACATGAATCTCTGAGCACTGGATATGCATGCCCTGTGGACCAAGGCACCATTGTTTGCCCCATCCTGACAATCCTATCCAGCCCACTTAGACTCTGGCCTCAGAACCATGTTTGGGAGAATTCCTGCCTCCTGATCACAGGAGCCTGCAGGGGTCCAGGTACGTGACATTCTTTACAGACATCTTCACACCAGCCTGTTGGTGAGACTCCCCACTGGGGTACTAGAGACAGCCCAGGTGCCTGGAGAGACCCTGGTGCTCTCCTAGGCTCTTGTGCACTGTCCTACTCCAGATCAGCTCTGCCATCAGGAGGAAATTGGGTCCAATGTAAGAGGGAGTCAGTGCCAGGCCTGATGGGCAAGGGTGCAGGCGTCCTTCCCTGCCTCTCTCGCTTGAAGCCTGTACTCAGGTTGTCTTGAATGTGGACTTTGGGAGTGCCAAGAGCCCAGAGTGTCAGGTACTTCCAGAACAGCGGCCCTCTGCCAGCCTTAGGCCTGTCCCCCATGTCTAGGAGTGGAAGCTGGCTGGTGAGCGCCGCCCCGTTCTTCTAATGCACTGTAGAAATTGTATGTATTGTATTTAAATCAATGCAAATGTATGAATAACAAATCCAATTCTGATCCCTTTGTCCAGTTTTCTTTGGGGGAAGGAAGACAAAGTAAATGCAGTTCTAATGGCAAAGAGTTAGAGACTTGACTCCTGAAAACCAAGTGTTTTCCTAAGACATTTCAAAACATGACCTGAATCTATTGATGGGGTACATCAATAGATGTATGGTATGATTACTTGTTACAGACTGTTCTCTGGTAGGGACTCTATAGTATTTGCCCTGGCAGTGGCTGTTAAGTGTAGAGCAGTGGTTCTCAACCTGTGGGTTGTGACCCCTGGGGGATGGGGTTGGGTCAAATGACCCTTTTACAGGGGTCACCTAAGACCATCAGAAAACACAGATATTTACATTATGATTCATGACAGTAGCAAAATTGCAGTTATGAAGTAGTAATGGAAAATAACATGAGGAATTGTATTAAAGGGTCACAGCATTAGGAAGGTTGAGAACCACTGGTGTAGAGGTGAATTTAGAGATGTTAGTTTTTCTCCTTGGCCAGCAGAGGGCAGTCTTGCCATAAAGGTACACCACTGTCCCTGGGGGTACTGGTTGGTGGGGAGGGGGAATGCTGATGAGCACATAGTTTAGAATAGTAGGAAAAGCCCTTCAGTCTAGGTTACCATGCCATAGTGCCGGGTGATAATTGTCCTGTGCCATCCCGATGGTTGGCCCTTGATAGTGCTCCCAACAACTGCATAATCAGCCAAGGACCCAGTGCCCAAGTGCAGAGACCTCATTTTTCCTTGCAACTTACTCATTCTGGAAGAGGAAGCTGTAGTACTGGGATCTCCAGGGTTTGGGCTGGAGAAAGCACAAGCATCCAGCCAGATTTATCTCCTGGGGAACATCCTGTCCTTCCCTGTCTGGGATTCTCCCCTTCTATAACAGACTCACAGAACTGTTGATGTAAATGTTTTATTTTTCACTTCAACAAGTTTTCTCTGTGCACTGGCCTGTGGCACAAGGGTGTGGACAGCTGGCTGCTGCACGGTGACAGCGGCTGGCAGTTAGTTTACCCCAGGGGAACGCCCTGCAGCCCAGTTCTGCTGTGAGGTCTGAGGCATCACCTCGCTTGGTAAGAACAGGTTCCATACAGGGCAGAGTCCAGTGAATGCTGGTTCCGATCTGAACTGAGGACAACATTCTTACTACTGCTTTCATCGCCTAGACAGGGCCCTGCTCAGGACTCCTCCTTGCAACTCCATAAGCCTTTTGGCAAAAGTCCCTGCAGTATCTGGGGAGGACCTCCCCAACCCTTCACTGGGTCAGTGTCTGATCTGGTGGAGGTAACCTGTGGGACCCGGCTTATTCCAGTTTCGGTGGACTCTGGCACTTGTCCTCCGGGAGTTCCCAATCTGCTCGCCAGTGGCCTCATCAGTGGTGCTGTCCTGTGAGTCGGCCGCTGTAGATCCAGGCTCTGGTGCTCTGTTGGGAACAAGTGTGTGATAAGCCAACGTCAACACGGAGAGCAGGATGGAACCTTAAGAGTTTTATCCCTATAAAACACTGCTGGGATAAAAAGAGACCCAAGAACTGTATGACAACTCTTTCCAGCTCTGCATGTTAAGAGGGTGGGGCTGGATCTGAGAATGGGACACTCAGCAAGTCTCTCCTGGCCTTTTTCGTTCATTCATGGCATCATAAGTCAGGCATAAATGGCATCAGTTAATGCAAGCCATGAAGACTGACTTGCGGTCTCAGACCCGAGGACCTGTTCAGTCTCTGCTGTTCAGAGTGAGGGGAGGATCCTAGAGGGAAATTTGTAGTGATGGCTTTAAGGCCAGGTCGTTTACCTAAGTCCCCTGGGGCCCACTACTCCTGGGCCGGCAGTGCTGGGGCAGAGGTAGATGGCCAGAGAGAATCTCCTGCTTGTCCCCCTAGGATCTCCACAGTACCTGCTGAGACCTCTGTGTCCCCTGCATGCTTTAACCAGGCTTGCCTTTGAACAGTACCCATTCCACTACTGGTCTTTTTTTTTTTTCCTTCCAACAGTACTCCTTCCTACTGGCCCAGAGTCTCGGAATTTGGTAGTTCTGCTTTGACTAGGCTTTCCTTCTCATGGGGACCACAGAGTCACGTGACTCCAACAATAACAATAGTCTTAGGTGCCATAGCAGTATAAACATGAACAGTAGGTACCTTACAGTGAGGACAAGTTACTGGTTTGAGGTCACACCCGAGCAGGCATCCTTTCTACCTCTTCCCTCAGCCCTCCGGTCCCAGTCCCCTACCTCAGCCGGCTGCAGTGGTTCTGCCTCGGGGGCCTTTTCCTGCGCAGCCTCCTCAGGGCCTCAGCCACACGGTGATCCCCTGCACATTCCCAGATGATCTGGGCCCGCTCTTCAGCCAGCTGGTCCCCACTGCGCTGGAACAGGCCCTGGATCTGTACCAGCTCGGCATCCTGGAAGATGTTGGCAGAGGCCTGCTTACGGCCCCGGGCCTCAGTTGAAACCTGCCACAGGGGTGGCTCACTCACCACAGAGGCCGGGGTCCCCATCACAGGTGCTCTGAGGACAAAAGGTGGGGACATAAGCACTCCTGTAGCCATCTACAGAGGCACTGTCAACCAACAGCTGGTCACAAATTGGACAAGGGAAAATTAAAATATAGTCACAGAAGATAGGTACACATTTGCTATAAAAGAGGCAGAGTGGAATGGGGGCTAGGATGTAGCTCATTTATTTGACAGAGTGCTTGCATAGCATGCATGAAACACTGGGTTTGAGCCCCAGTGCCACATAAACTGGGTATGATAGTGCATGTCTGTAATCCTAGCACTTGGGAGATGGAGGCAGGAGGATCAAAAGATCAAAGTCAGGACTGGAGAGATGGCTCAGCAGTTAAGAGCACTGTCTGCTCTTGGAGAGGACCGAGTTCAGTTCTTGGCACCCACATGGCTGCTCACAACTGTCTGTAAGTCCAGTTCCAGGGAAACTGGCCTCTGCAGGCACCAGGCATATACAAGGAACATGGATATGCATGCAGTCAAACGTTCATACACGTGAAATAAAAATAAATCTTAAAAAGGAAAAGCTACAAAGTCATCCTCAGCTATATATTGAGCCTGAGAACAGCCTGGACTACACGATGCTATGTTTAAAAAAGTGACAATAAATACAAGCATTTCCAGTTTGTTCTGGACCTGCTCACAGCAGTAGCCCTCCCCCTCACCTGCTGCTCTTTTGTTCTCTGGAAGAGCCTGAGTCATCACTCCACCCCTCCCTTGCTCTGGCCTCCAGCTCAACACATCAGTCCAGTTGTTTCCACACACGCACTGTCCTAGTTTCTACCCTAAGATCTCACTTTCTTTTCAAGACTCAATACCTAAGATAAATCCACAGAAGAAAGACATCCAGATAAAGTCATAAAAGCTCTATTTTTATCTAGAAAACAGGAATAAGAAAACCTGTGTGGTACTTAGCCCCCAGGAACTGGTGTATCTACATGCTGAGAACAAAAGCTAAGTGACCAAGGCACATTTTCAGGCTAATGAGAAAGAAAAGGCAAGTGTGGGTGTTTACTGTGCACTGGATGGTGCGCATGAATCATTAATCCTCAAAATAACTCTAGAAGATAGATACTGCTACCGCTATCCCAGTGCAGGAGAAGCAAGGGCTGGGATCCAGCTGGACCCTGTCCCTCCACTGTGGCCCCACAGTTTAAACCCCTGAGCCACCTGTTCAGGGAAGCAACTCAGCCCACTTCCTCCACTTCCATGAGGAGTGAAGGACATCCCTTATCCCACAAGGTGGAGTCCTGTGCAGTGTTTCATCCAGTCACTAGTGTCAAGGTGGCTGACTAGGTGACAGCATCCTCAGCCTTGAACCAGTGGTGCTCTTCAGAAGAAAATCTCCAGTCTCCACTAAAGAATTCTAGGAGTGCAGCTGAGCCCAGTGCAGAGAGTGGCACGTGACTCAGGAGTCAAGGGTCTGTCCCTGGCTCTGCCACTCACTGGTTGATAGGCTTCAGGAATCCCCATCACCTCTGGGCTGATTCCCTGCCACTGTGGGAGCAGGCTGAGGTTGATGGCCTCAGAGGGCCTGCACTAGTGTTGAGTCAATGAAGCTATGACAAGAATGGTCTGTGCTGAAGGATAACACTGCTTGCCTGCTCCTTGTTGGCTGGAAGCTGCATGGGTGGACAGGCCTAACTAATTAGGTTCCAGAAAATGCCTCAACTAGCAGTTACCCTTCTCCCCACCCCTCGCCTCCTTGAAGGAAGGCCAGATACTGTTTTGCTACAGTGGGTGGAAGGGTCAGAATCCAGCAGAAGTCTGAGAACGCTGCCAAGCTCTAGGTAGACTCTTAGGCTGGTCTGGGGTGGTAGGAGATGGGGTGATGTCCCTCTTTCAGAATCCGAAATTTCACCTTCTCTGAGGAGGAAGGACAGACAAAGGATCGTGTAGCAGAAGTCAGCAGGAGGAAATGGCCTGGGGCCTGACTGCCCACTTTAGTTCTAGCGTCCTCTACAGGGCTGAAGGCTTTAACTGGCCAGCCTCTCGTGAGCTGAGTTAACAACCCAGGGAGGAAACTACTGGACAGTCCAGGGTCCAGCTTCAACCACTCCCATGAGCCTCGGGAAGCCTTGGCACCTCCAAATTTTTGAAGCCCTTCACTGGAGGGAGCCTCACCAGGCAGCAGAGTGAAGCTAGGATTCCAAGTAGGATGAGATGGTAAACATGGGGAAAACTGATAAAGTGGGGTCATAACACTGTCAGCGGACACTTCCTGTCTCATTCACTGTGTTCAAGCATTCCTCTTCTAATTTCTGGGACGAAACCTTACTCCAGGAAGCTCAAGTGTATCCTTGAACAATGGTACTTTTTAAAACTGGAAAACGGAAGCTATTAAAAGATTACAGATGGAGCTTTCATTCTAGAGCTGACATAGAAGATAAGCATGGGTCTGCGAGCAGATGAGTAAGAGCTAATTACAAAACACTTCAGTTGGACACTGAATAGGTTAAGAATGAACCCCCAAAGTAAATACTGAACGTTGAGGATGACAAAGTTCAACTTACTTTGAGTCAGGCATTAGAGGAAGAAATGTACAAAGATTTAAGACATGCTTCACGCCTCACCCAGCCAGTGCACAGGCAGCACAGACGTGTACAATGGGGGCATTCTCTGTAGCACGACATTAGTTCCACAGCTAGTCAATAATTTCTCCATCCTACCTCCTCTCAGGGAGGCATAGGTAACCCTGGAGACAGAGCACACTTAGGTGGGGTGGCAGTTCCTGCTCCCTATTCAGGTTGCCACCTTTTGAATAACCTCGGTGATAGCAATCCTCTCTTTAAAACAACTAGGGGCTGTAGCTCAAGTCAATACTATGGCCCTGGCCTGCTACCCTCTACAGACAGACCTCTGGACAACAGCCTAAATCTGTTGTTCCTCAAGTAGGAAACCACATTCAAATGGCCTTGTGTTCCTTATACTGCTGGCTTTCCAAATCTATGCTGCAGAAGTGAAGAAGAAAACTGGGCCCTTATTCCAGACCCATTTTCTGGCATAACCCGAAAAATAAACTAGTAGAATGAGGAATAACTCCCTTTGAAAGAATTCAAACCCCTAAGTTCCCGGCAGTGCACTGATCACTGAGTGACCTTGGACAAGTCTCACTTTTCCTTTGCTTCATTTTGTTCCATCAATCAAAATGGTGGGGGGAAAAAACCCTTACTGGGTACAGAGATGAAATACGAGAATGTCCATTCTAGTACCTGGCACACTACAGACACTCTACACTGCATATTGGTTGAATGAAAAATGATGCCAAGGGAAGGCTATTAACAGGACTATAGAGGACTATGGTCATCACTGACATGCAAACTCTACCCAGGGGGGTTTCAAAGAGAGACAAGGTCATCTGTGCCCCCTTTAAAACCATGGTTTTATGACTAACTTCACAGAAGAAAGCCTCTTGCTGTGTCAAGCACAGAACAGCATTTTCAGAGGACTTTTTGGTCCTCATGTGAGGTGGCATCCTAATGTCCCTTGTTAGTGGGCACTATTGTTAAACTCGTTTTCCCGATGAAAAAGCTGGAAGTAGTAACTTGCTCAACACCCAAGGCTGGTAGGTAATCTTAGGCCATTAACTAGGTGGTCTGACCCGAGTGCCTACAATCTCGACCAGAGTTATTTTCATTTTTGCCAGATGGCTGAGAAGGTGTTCAAATGAAACAAGGGGGCAGAAGGATCTGAAACCTGCCATCTTCGACTGAGGGTTTTGGAGGTCGCCACCGACCCACAGACAGAATTTCCACGCCAGCTCTGCGCTGGAGTTAGAGCGAGGGGCGTTAAAGCAGTTCCATGGGGAGTTAGATCAGTGTCGTGTCCACATACAGACACTTCTAGCAGACCCCAAATAGGGATCCAGCAGCTAAGACGCCCACTCCAACCTCTCCGGCTTTTCGAGAAAGGGCAGACACAGCTCTGGGCTTCCTGCTCTGAAGGTGATAAGGGCCAAGCGGAGGTGACTGGCTGGCCAAGAGCTTGGGAGAGGGTATCTTGGCAGAAGGTACAGGGCACCATCCCCAGCACAGTCGGCCTCAGGGCTCAGACGCGGCCACTAGCAGAACAAGAGGCCCTTAAATGGATCCATGGTGTGCGACCTGGCGGATTCCTAGCTACGACCGTCCTCCCGTGCGCTCCCGCGCAGAGCTAAGCCGGACCGTGGCCTACCTACCTGGTTGCCTTGGCTGCCCGAGGCGGGCAGAACGCAGCCCGGAGCCTGGCCGGGCCACCTGGATCGCAGCCACAGTTCTCCGGAGAAAGTGCGCTGAGCCCCTCAACAGCCAATCCTCGGCCACAGCCTTACAGCGAGCAGCTAAATCAACCTTCCCAAATCGAACGCGGAGACCCCGCGGGCCAATCAGCCGCTGCAGAGGGCGAAGGGCGAGTCTAACCCCGCCCCCCCCTCGTGCCCGCCTCCAAATCGAGTGCGGAGATTCTTCGAATCCAATCAACTGCAGGGTATCGGTGAGGGGCGTGTCCTCCGGGCCCTCCCCCTCCTCCCTGCAAGACCCAGCCCTCCCGACGCCCGGAGGCGCCCCCTTGATTGACGTCAGTCCGGGGGGTTGGCTGGGTTTTGCCCGCACTCACGCACGCAGGCCGGGCGGGGTCGCATTCTTGCCACAGGGTGCGGCAGAGGCTGCTGACCCTGCTGGGTACATGTGACAAATGATCCCCCTTTTTTTTTCTGGGCCGAGTCCTGCTCGCGTGGCGCCAAGTTCTGCTGTTATGATCCTTGTAACCTGCTGCTCCTAAAACTCCCCTCCCCTCCCAGCCCACCTGGGCCTGCATTCGGAATGATCTTCAAATCCTGTAGCAACCGTGCAAGTTTGGGCCTGTTACCTAAAGGAGGAAGTACTTAAAAGTTCCTTACTCTTTTGACATCTTTCAGGGCAACCCTTCCCAGTTCGGTTTCCTTGATGGGCAGTAACAGAACTGCAACCCTTAACTTGGAGTAGTTAACAGCCTAGCAATGAAGGCTAACACTGAACCACCACTTAATATGTGACTACAATCATGATCACGTGAAGCTGGAAGAGGGTAAACAGGCATGTTTGGGAGGTCTTGGAAGCCACGAGAAGGAACATAACCAGTAAAAGGAAGGCTCTGAAGTTTTTAGAAGGAGAAAAAGTGGATCTGGGAAGAATAAAGGTAGAGGGAAGGAAGCTTGCTGCAGCCAGGATAGAGAGTTGAAGTGAGGCTTGGAGATTCGCTGTAAATAGCAAGGTATCCACGGTGGGAAGCAGAAGGCATGGGCAGGCAATCTTGCCTTTGCCCCTCGGAGGGTCTGTAAGGGTCTGTAACCAGGGAAATAACGTGATTTGTACTTACAAATAGGCATTCTGCAGCCCTCACAGAGTGCCAGTACCGCAGTCAGTACTTGACAAGTATTAGCTCATTTTCTCTTGGTGTTGAATTTGCATTTTTAGAAGGTCTCACCAGTTGCAACTTGGGAGTTGATCCCTCGCCACCGCTGGACATCTGGTCCGTGAGCATGCTAAACAAGGGCTGTACCACTGAGCTACTATGTGCCCAGCTTATTTTTCTGTCTGTTGCTTTAAGATAGGGTTTTACTTTAAGATTGGGTTTCCTCCTGACTCAATCTCTCTCTCTCTCTCTCTCTCTCTCTCTTTTTTAAAGATTTATTTATTTATTTATTTATTTATTTATTATGTATACAGTATTCTGCCTGCATGTGTCCCTGCAGGCCAGAAGAGGGCACCAGGTGGTTGTGAGCCACCATGTGGTTGCTGAGAATTGAACTCAGGACCTCTGGAAGAGCAGTAGGTGCTCTTAACCACTGAGCCATCTCTCCAGCCCCTGACTCAGTCTCTTAGTGCTGAGATAATAGGCACGTACCACCAGACCCAGCTCCGTTAGACTCTGGAGAAATGCCTTGTTGAGGGGTTGTTTGTGCTCTTGTCCAGAAATGTCAGGAAGGATGCCTGGGCAGCAGGTGTAGGCAGCAAGTTTTCCTGACTTTTCTCACTTCAAAGCTGACATTCTAAGATTAGTTTCTCTTCTGTAAAAGTTCCAGGTGGGAAGGAGATGAAGGACATTGGAGAGATGGCTCAGTGGTTAAGAGCTCTGGCTGCTTTTGCAAAAAACCAGAGTTCTAGTCCCAGCATTCACATGGCATCACTACCATCTGCAACTCCAGTTCCAGAGAATCTGGTGCCCTTCTCTGACTCTGAAGGTACCGAGCACACATCTGGTGCACATACACTCAAGCAAAGACACTCATACACTGAAAACAAACAAAAACAACCTTGAAAAAATGTTCCAAGAGGGAAGCACTAGCTGGGATTTGTGGGATCCTTTTTGCAAGGGGAATTTAGTTTCTATTCTTCCTCATCGTCCCACTGCACAAAAGCATGTTTTTAAGGATAGTTTCTCTGCTTTTCTTGAAGTCCTGGGGAAATGAAAAGAGATAGAGAGATAGATAGATAAAAGAGATAAGAGATTCAAGAGCAAGATCACACAAGAGAAATTAGCAGTGTTCTTTCCGTTCAAAGTGTGGCTGAGGAGAGGACCGCAGGCTTGTAAACCATGGCTGGCCTTCCGATGCAGGAATTCCTCTCACCCACTCTAAGCTCTAGGAAAGTCAGACGCTCAGCATATCCGGGTTAAAGGACCTGGAAATTCTGATGCCACCAGCTCAGATGGGTACACACTGCAGGAATCGAGAACTTGTGGCTTCTGGGTCAGCTGTGACTAAGGCTGGGTGGAGAACGCCCGCTGTCTCCAAACAGTTCTGCAGGCATATACTGGTGCTCACTCCACAATGGAACCATTTCCTTTGCCCCCGTTTTATGATTCAGTATTTCTGACGAGAAGATGGGACACTCCCCTAGTCATGTGGGCCATGAGAAACCTCACCAGAAATGGGGATGTTTGAGGCTCACAGAATGGTGCAGGAAACGGTAGCTACCAACAAAAAGGGCCCTGTTTCTTCGTTTGTTTTGAGGCAGGGTCTCTTTTTGTGCTCAGTCAGGCCTTGAATTCCAGATTCTCTTGCTTCAGCCTCCTGGGTGCTGGTATTACAGATGTGGGCCACCATACCATAGCATTCTGGGCCCCTGTTTAGAGGAGGTTGGCACTGAGGAGTGCCCCTAGTGCCATTCAGGCAGACTTGGTTTCATCCAGGGCCCAGATTAAGATGGTATGAATGGGGCTGGTGGGATGGCTCAGTGGTAAAGGCACTGGCCACCAAGCTTGAGAGCCTGAGTCTGACCCCAGAACCAACATCAGATGGAAGGAGAGTACAAAAAACTCAGCAATTAAAATAGATAACATCAAAACAGATGCCAAAAACCGAGATGAACAAACTACAGAATTAGTAAAGACAGGCCTCTGCTTGTTTTCATGACTCTGATTTTGTAGCAGACGTTTGTCTCCCAGCAGCCTTCCGTTCCCAGCCAGGCTGTCCCCACAGTGGCTTCATGAGGACTGATGGTAGCATTAGGACACGTTGGGCAACCCTGCTTTTTATCATATTTGGTTGCAGGGCTTTTATCCACTTTCCCCATTCGGTTCAGGACCTGGGGGGATATTTGCATAAGAGTGTTTGGGGCACGAATTTGCCCTTGCTTCATGCTCCAATATGGTTCACCCTGGTGCTGTTTTTACCGCCCCCCCCCCCAACCCCAGGAAAGTCTAGGAACGGGTTTCTACTCATCTTCCTTAAGCAAGCGATTGAACCTTTCTGTCCCTCAGCTTTCTTGTCTTTAAAATGGGAATGGTTGAGGCTGGAGATACAGCTTGGTCATAAAGTGTGACTTAGCATGAAAGACATGAGGGGTTCGATTCCCAGTGCTGCAAAAGGAATGCATGTTTAATGAGAGACTTGCTATGAGTGTTACTGTGATGACACAGGGAAGGAACACAGGCTGAGTGCTCCAAACAGCCACAGGCTGAATCTCCGGTTGTCGTTGGAATTTTTGCTGTTGTTTTTTTTGTTGTTGTTGTTTGTTTGCTTGTTTTTTGAGACAGGCTTTCTCTGTGTAACAGCCCTGGCTGTTCTGGATCTTGTTCTGTAGACCAGGCTAGCCTTGAACTCACAGATCCACCTGTCTCTGCCTTCCGAGAACTGGAAAGGCGTGGATCACCATTCCAGGTGACCCTGAACTTCTGATTCTCTTTCAGCACTAGTTTATGTGGTACTGGGAATTGAGTCCAAAACTAAATCCCTATCCCCTAGACTGAAAGTATTTCAAACACAAACGGGGTACAAATGAGTGGTATGGCGCTGACCTTGCACGTGCAAAGTCTTGTGTTCAAGTGAGTCCTGGAATTTCAACAAAATAAAATAAAGATAATTTTATTTTGAGAAAGAAAAGATATGAAAACAAGTGTGTTGTATAAATATGTATAGACGTGTGTGTGGTGTATGTGTGCGTGCTTGTCCATGTGTCAGTGTATGTCTGTGTGTGTTTGTATGTTAGTGTTATCCTGGAATCAAACCTAGGGCCTTATACATGCTATTCATGTGTGCCGCAGTGCATGTGTGGAGTCCAGAGGACAATTGCAGGAATTGGTTCTCTCCTTCCATGGTGTGGATCATGGGTGTTGAATTCAGATTGTCAGGGTTCCAGGCAAGTATCTTTACCCCAGAGCCATCTCCCCAGACACACTGTTTTTCTTGATGCATGATTGCTGTGGGATGTTCTGTATGGCAAATGTGTTGCTCTGATTGGTCAATAAATAAAACACTGATTGGCCAATGGCTAGGCAGGAAGTATAGGAGGGACAAGGAGGAGAATAAAGCTGGGAAGTGGAAGGCTGAGTCAGAGAGACACTGCCAGCCGCCACGATGACAAACAGCATGTGAAGACGCCGGTAAGCCACGAGCCATATGGCAAGATACAGATTTATAGAAATGAGTTAATTTAAGCTATAAGAACAGTTAGCAAGAAGCCTGCCACGGCCATACAGTTTGTAAGCAATATAAGTCTCTGTGTTTACTTGGTCGGGTCTGAGCAGCTGTGGGACTGGCAGGTGAGAGAGATTTGTCCTGACTGTGGGCCAGGCAGGAAAACTCTAGCTACACATGATCATGGCCAGGTTGTTGCTTTGTTTTGAATCTAAAATTCCTCCCAAAGGTCCATGTTTTCAATGCTAGGTATCCAGTCTGTGCTGCTGCTCGGAATGCTCAGAGCCTTTAGGAGGCAGGGCCTGGCTGATGAAGTGGGTCACCGAGGCAGGCCTTTGAGGGCGGGGCTTTTGAAGGCTCTACCTTCACTGTTCAGCCTGCTGCGGCCTCTGCTTCCTGCTTTGCAGCTGGTAGACTGAGCTCCTACTGCCCAGCCTCCCCTGTCATGATGGACTGAAATCTCTTTGGAACCATGAGCCATAAAAAGCCTCTTCCCACCTAAGATGTTTCTGTCAAG